AGTATATACGGTATCCTTTTTAATCTTCTTACTGGAAATTTTTTTTTATTGTAGGGGGGAAAGTTATTACAGATACTTAATTTGGCAGCAGCCAACGTCTCATTTTCTTGACTTTCCTGATGTTTATTGAGTAAACAGAAAAAGGAGGAGAAGATAAGGAATGTATATCTGCTGTATACAAAGCATTAATTCCTTCTTGCATATCCACGCATGGTGGCCTCTTCCTCCCCACCCCCAGCTTCAACTGGCCTTAGAAGTATTGTTACCTGGTTTAGTCTTGCCTACTGAGGAGTAGAGTCTCTGGCGCCCAGCTCTAGGGTTAGATTCAGCAGGGGTAGAAGGGGTTTAGAGAGTGGGGAGAAGTTTGGGAAAGAAATGGTAGAGGTAAGTAGCTTAGAGCTAAGAAGGGTCGCTATCCTGTTGAAGTGGGCAGAACCTGGCTCAGTGTCCCATGGAAACCACAGCTGGAGTACATTCTGTTTTACTTCCAACGAGAAGGATTTTGCAAGGAACTTTGTTGAGGATGAGTGCAAAGATTTAGGTACAAGGATGATCTTTGCATTATTTATAATAACTAAAATTTTCTATTGTGCCAAGTTTCTGTAAAAACCTAAAACTCAACCCACTGTCAAACTGTCTGTGTCAGCAAAAGCCCGGCTGGTGCCATGATGCAGGTGGCTGGCTGTTAACTGAAAGGTCGGTAGTTGGAAGGAAGATGCGGCAGTCTGTTTCCATGAAGATGTACAGTCTTTGGAACCAGATGGGGCAGTTCCATTGTGTTCTACAAGGGGTACCCCCCAAAACTGGAATCTACCCCCCAAAACTATATTTAAAATTTTTCATAAAACAACCATATCACCTTCAAAGTACTCTCCATTACACTTAATACACCTGTTAAATCTGATTCCATTCTTGGAAACATTTTTCACACTTACCTGTTTGGATGACTGACAGCACCTCCTGTTTTTTTCCACCTCTTCTGTCTCATCCAATCATTGTTCTTTCATGCCCCTCTTCATTCT